TTAGCTAAGTTGCATTTAAAAATGCCTCCCAATTTGTTCAGTTATTATCGTGACTATCTTCACTGATCTCTTAATTTTGACTTGTTTACCATTTTTAATTAAATTGAGCTATGTATAAGTCCACATTAATTTTTATTGACTCGTTTTAGGATTCACTGTTTTAGCAGATTTGGTACTGCGCCTCTGAACGGATCGCTGCTACCTCTTTTTCAAATTCAGAAGCGTGGAGATCACTGAGTATTCTGTGTTCCGGTACTAGATCTGGAAATTATGTAAATATGTAAAAGAAAACGTGTGAATATTATAGCACAGAGAATAAACAATGAAAATGAAAAACAAGAAAAGAAGCTGTCGGGAGCAGCGGCAGAAATCAATTTGAAATCATTTAAAACCCAGTTATTGTTTGCCATTTGGTCAGCATCACTGACAACAACAATGTAAACCAAAGCTTCCAATTATCTATCCTGCGTAAGATAAGCCGAAATAAGCGACTGCGCTCGCTGCTCTCTCGGACCTACGCACTCTTATCATGTACATTCGCTTTTGATCGCTGGTACGAAGCAGTTCGTTCGCTCTCGCTACCACAATAAACGCATTAAAAATCGAACCACTTTTTCGTCTTTTCTTTTAGCACCGATCTGACACACGCATAATTCTCTCTCGTTTAAATATTCGCAAAAAAGGTGGCATAAATTAATGCCTCCTCTAAACATTTGGTGACCCCGACGTGATCGTGAACGTGTGTCAAAGTTAAGCAATTATTAAATATCGTTTTAATAATTCTACGCGCCCTTTGCATGTGTCGCTGCAGGGCCACACACACACAAACTCTTTTCGCATCGTTTCGCACGGTATTCGCATATACCGACATTGTACAGTTAGAATCGGCTGCTGTACAGCCTAAGCTTTTTGCATAACGGAAAGTGTTACACAACTTCGCTCGCCAGGCAAAAGTCGTTGCCCTTTGTTTTCGGCTCCGTCATTACCCTCAAATTCGATCTTTGGTTTTCGCTGGACCAAGTGCAGGTGCAGCGCAAATTTCGTGCGGTGACTTTCGTATACCCTACAAACGGAAAATAAAAATTAAAAAATGCCAGCCAAACATACGAAAAAGCCTGAGCTCGCGCCTCACGCACCAAACGGCGAGGAGTTTTATCGAGCAAAGGCAGATTCTATGGTACGCCAGCTGGCGGCCTTAAATTCATTTTTGACAGAGGAGCAGTTGGCCAAATTGGACGAAAGTGAGTTGCAGGTGCGGCTGGATTTAACCGAGCGCATGTACTCTGACTTCGACAGCTCTCGACTTAACCTCGAACAGCTTGTAATTGAGGAGCTGGAGTCAGATGCGCGCTTAATCTTTACCACGGCATATTGTGAGATGAAAGGAAAAATCTGCCGCCATCTCAATATTGAGAAGAGAAAGTCGTTGGCAAATTCAACTGAGTTGCATGGCATCCTCGGTGGACACGCAGCCGCCTTCAAGTGCAATTCGCGGCCCACCAGGCTACCGGAATTTCAACTTCCGCGATTTGGCGGAGCATACATCAATTGGCTGGATTTCTACGCCATGTTCAACACCGTAGTGGGAAAGAACGAAGATCTAACAAAGGTGGAAACATTTCAGCATCTTCGCGCATGTTTGGACGGCATTGCACGAGCCAACGGAAAATAATTACGACAGGGCTTTGGAATTGTTAACGTCGAGATTTGATAATAAATTATCGCACTTTCAGGCACATGCTCGATCTTTATTCAAGCTCCCTGTGGTGGAGAAGGGATCCGCAAGTAGTCTGCGGCAGCTTAGCGACAAGGCAAATTCTCATTTGCGCGCCTTGGCTACTATGGCCTCTACGCAGGAGATCTATGACGGCCTCTTAATTCATCTCCTCGCTTCAAAACTGGACATTCAGACCCAGGAGAGGTGGGAAGAAGGATTACCTTCCAAGGAGCTGCCAAGTTGGGATAAATTCTCATCGTTTTTGGACCTTAGATGCCGCATGATGGAAAATTTGGAATACGCTATGGTAAACCAAGCACCTGGCAAACAGGTTGGAAAAGTAGCTAACAAATTTTGTCGTAGCACCCTCGTCGCTTCATCATCAGCTTTGCCATCATGTACCCTTTGCGAGTCTAGGGAACATTATTTGACAAAATGCCCACAGTTCTTAGGGTTGAACCCCAATCAGCGGTATAGAGAGTCAAAAAGGCTACATCTTTGTCTCAACTGCCTACGAAAAGGGCACAGCCTACAGCAATGCAAGTTTGGCAACTGTAGACACTGCCACCAGAGGCATCATAGTCTTCTTCATTTGGAAACAAATCCCGTTGCAACCCTGGCCCAGCCTGTTCCAGAAATACTTCCGCAAGGTTCATCTCACGTCTCTGTAGCCTTGTCCAAAACACCGCCTTTAGCTTCATCGTCAACTAGATCCGAATACGTCTTGCATGCTACCGCCATAGTCTACGTAAAAAATCGGTCTGGCGCGTTCGTGCCATGCAGGGCCCTGCTCGATTCGGCTTCTCAAATCAACTTCGTCACATCTCGTTTCACCAATCAGCTTCAGCTCAAGATCCATCGTTCATTCATCTCAATACCAGGAATCGGTGAGTCCTCGCTCGCTTCGGATAAATCGGTTCATATTTTCGCTCAGTCGAGTAACGCAAAGTATAGCACTTCGCTCTCTGCTGCTGTCACCCAGTCAATCACCGATTACCACCCGCATTTCGATCTTAACGCGTCTGAATGGAAAATACCGGAAAATCTCGAGCTCGCCGACCCGCTCTTCTACAAAAGTCAACGCATAGACTTGCTTCTTGGAGCAAGCATATTCTTTGAGCTGCTTTGTATTGGACAAATTCGATTAGGCAGCAATTTACCCTCTCTGCAGAAAACCAGACTTGGCTAGATCGTCTCAGGGTGTCTAACGGTAGGATCTTACGTCCGCTTATCTTTAGTTTTAGCTAGAAATTCAGAGCTGAAGTCGCAGTATAAAGCCTTTGTAGAGGAGTACCTGAACCTTGGCCACATGTCTCTAACAACTAAAAATGCTGCAGCTCATCAGTATTAGCTACCCACCACTGCGTCCAAAAATTGGAAAGTACAACAACAAAACTGCGAGTTGCTTTCGACGGCTCAGCGAAGTCCACTTCGGGATATTCGTTGAACGATCAACCAAAAATCTTCACTACCCTACTTCGTTTTCGATTTTTCAAAGTTGCTTTGTGTAGGGATATTTGCAAAATGTATCGCTGCGTTCGGGTTACGCATCCCCATCAGTTTCTTCAATGTATTTTATGGCGCGATCGGCCAGAAGACGAGGTTCAAGTTTACTCGCTTGACACCGTAACCTACGGCACGAAGCCTGCTGCCTTTTTGGCAATTCGTGCAATGCAGCAGCTATCCTACGATGAAGAAGCGGAATTTCCAGTAGCAGCTAAAATCATACGCACAAACTTCTACGTGGATGATCTAATCGCAGGAGGAGACACCATTGAGGAGGTCGTTGAAATTCGTCAACAAATCAAGGCGCTCCTGGAAAGAGGACATTTTCCAATTCGCAAATGGTGTTCCAACGAACCTGCGGCGCTAAAAGGAGTGGATGACTCGGATCGGGAGAAAACTTTAAAGTTCCACGACGGAACCGACGTTACGAAAGCGTTAGGTTTATCTTGGGACACGCTATCGGATAGCTTGCTTTTCAGCCTCTCAAACGAATGGGCAGAAAACCCGCAACCAAGCGCAGCATCCTGTCGGCTATCGCTAAGTTTTACGATCCCCTTGGACTAATAGCCCCAATCATAACCAAACTTAAAATTTTCATGCAGGTCTTATGGAAGGATAAGCTCGACTGGGATGAATCCCTGCCGCAATCTTTGCATGCCGCTTGGTTGGAGCACATGTCGCAGATCGCCACAGTTGCTTGCTTGAAGTTTCCAAGCTTGGTTCTACAGCATAACTCATCGTGCGAAATACATGGATTTTGCGATGCAAGCATGCCAGCTTACGGAGCTTGCATTTATGTTCGATCAGAGAACCAAGGTATCGTTTCTTCGAACCTACTTTTTCCGAAGCTAGAGTTATCTGCCGCTCTTTTACTTTTCGAGCTTGTCTCTCAAGTGGCACAAATTGCACCTCCATCTTGCACCTTTCATTGTTAGTCAGATTCGACAATAGTTTTGGCTTGGATCCGACAACCTCCATCAGATTTTAACATTTTCGTTTCGAACAGGATTTCGCAGATACAGGAGAGAACTAAGGGAATGAATTGGAGGCACGTAACGTCACGGCAGAATCCGGCGGACATCTTATCTCGTGGATGTACCCCTATTGAGCTGGTGGCTTCAAAACTTTGGAGTGAAGGACCGCAGTTTTTACTCACTGATTCTTCTACATGGCCTTATGACTCGCCCCCTGTCAAGGAACTTCCTGAGCGTAGGCGCAGCGCATTGGTGCTGTCGCAGGAAATAGACATCTCACACAGTTGCAAGTTTGGAAGCTCGTTTGGGAGAATGCAGAGAGTCTTCGGATACGTATATCGGTTTCTTCAAAGGGTCAGCAAGGATCGAGTACGGCATAAAGGAGAGCTTACAGTTGAGGAAATCAAAGGTGGGACCCATCTACTCATTAAAGGGATTCAGCGCGTGCACTTTGCCGAGGATCACAAGGCACTAACCTTGAAGATGAAGCTGTCGCCGAGGAGCAAACTTCTGTCCTTAAACCCATTTATAGATGCAGGAGGTCAATTCGCGTCGGCGGACGCCTTCAAAATTCGCAGCTGGATTTCGATGCCAAGCACCCTATGATTCTTCCCAAGTCTCATCATATAACCTTAGCTATCATTGATCATTTTTATCGCAAGTTCTTTCATGCAGGAGCACAGAGCTTGTTAGCCGCTTTACGACAGATATTCTGGCCCATTGGAGGGCGAAAAACGGTTTCTGCAGTCATCAACAAGTGCATTCAATGTTTCAGATTAAAGCCCAAGCTAGTCGAACACATCATGGCGCCGCTCCCGGAGGACCGAGTGCAGCCGAATCGCCCATTCGCCATCTCTGGAGTGGACTTTTGTGGCCCCTTTTATTCGAATTCAGAGGTCAGAAACAGGCCCCCTACGAAGTGAAACATAGCCATATTCGTTTGCTTCGTCAGCAAGGCTACACACTTGGAAGTCGTCGAAGACCTTTCAACGCAATCGTTCATAGCAGCCCTGAAGCGATTTGTAAGCCTGAGGGGAAAGCCTCAAACGATTTGGTCAGACAACGCAACGAACTTCGTGGGAGCCAAAAACGAGCTAATTGAGCTTCGGCAGCTGTTTCTGAGCGATCCTCAAAACATTGAGCTATGGAATTCCCTTACGTCGATGGAGATCCGTTGGAATTTCATTCCACCTCGTTCCCCGCACTTTGGTGGCCTGTGGGAAGCCGCGGTCAAATCCGCAAAATATCATTTCGTCCGTGTTGTTGGAAAATCAATTCTCACATTTCACGAGCTGCGCACTTTAGTTTGTCAAATTGCCGTAATTTTAAACTCACGACCGCTCTGTCCCATTTCAGAAAACCCAGATGACATTAGTGTTCTTACTCCTGCACACTCTTTCATTGGATCTACATTCACCGCATTGGACGAGCCTTATGTCACCCATCTGAACATCGATCGCTTGAGCCGGTGGCAGCGCGTATGCCAAATGCAGCAAACCTTCTGGCGCAAATGGAGCGCCGACTACCTTTCGCTGATGCAGGAGCGGACCAAATGGCGCCTTCCTGTGAGCAACGTACCGGCAGGCAGCATGGTCCTCATCAAGGAGGACAACATACCCCCTTTGCGGTGGCGCCTCGGCAGAGTCGAGAGCACCGTCTCCGAAGAGGATGGCGTCGAACGAGTTGCAGTCATCCGAACCGACTCTGGACTGTGCAAGCGTGCAATGAGGAAGCTTGCGGTACTGCCCCTAGAACCCACTTCACTTGGAAGCAAGACTCTTCCAACGGAGGGAGCATGTCGAGAGCAGCCGCAGAAATCAATTTAAAATCATTTAAAACCCATTTATTGTTTGCCATTTGGTCAGCATCACTGACAAAAACAATGTAAACCAAAGCTTCCAATTATCTATCCTGCAAGAGAAGCCGAGATAAGCGACTGCGCTCGCTGCTCTCTCGGACCTACGCACTCTTATCATGTACATTCGCTTTTGATCGCTGGTACGAAGCAGTTCGTTCGCTCTCGCTACCACAATAAACGCATTAAAAATCGAACCACTTTTTCGGCTTTTCTTTTAGCACCGATCTGACACACGCATAATTCTCTCTCGTTTAAATATTCGCAAAAAAGGTGGCATAAATTAATGCCTCCTCTAAACAGAAGCTATATTATATACCCTTTCAGATCATTCCTATTAATTAATAAATCGGAAAAATGTTCAATTTTCTATTATTTTTCATTAATTTTCCGAATTATATTATATAGTAGTTTAATGTTGATCAAATTAAAACCGAAATTCGGAAATATTTAAAAAGAGTTAGAAGAGAATACTATAAAAAACCAACGAAGCAATATATTTTTTCCTATTAATTTGCATTTAATTGCCGACCGTTCCTACGGCAGCTATATGATATAGTGCCCAGATTTTTTATTAATTATATTCGAAATTCATAAATATTTAAAAAATACATTCCCAAGAGTAGAAGTTAATAGTTCAAAAAACGCCGAAGCTATAATTTTTTTTACGTTTTTTATTTTTATATTTATTTTATTTCCATTAGATTTGTTTAATATCTTGACTTTGTTGGTGTTATTTTGCACTCTCTAAATTTGCTCTTGTATTCTCTCTCTCTCTCTCTTTTCCGCTCTGTTATAACTGTAATTTTGCTCTCTCGGAACCTGCCAAATTTCTTGTAGACTCTTGGGTGCTTTTCTCATAGTCTCACTCTCACTCGCTTTACATTGTAACTGTTCGTTCGTTTAGTTGTTGGTGCCCCACAAGCCACGCTCAGTCGATTGAATACTTTTTCTCTCGCGCTCTCTTGCTCTCGACTTAATTCGCGATCTCGCGCTCTTATACCTTCGTGTTTTGTGTTTTTTGCGGTTTTGGAATTTGATCCCAGTGCCAAATTTACTCGAGGTATATTTTCCACATTTTATTTTCTATTTCTTTAAATAACCTTTTTTTCCTATAAAATGGCCCTTATCTGTACAAAGAAAAGTTGTTCTCTTCCGATGTCAACCAAAGATTCTTTTATTATCTGTTGGCTCTGCGATTCGGTCATGCACGTCAAATGTGCAGGATTTACTGGCAGAGTTAAAGACTTCATTGAAATGCGTACCGGTCTCATGTGGGCATGTGAGTCCTGCAAGGAAATGACAGTCGAAATGAGCAGCTTTATGAGGCAGACTCGAGACGGACTATTCAACCTTTCACGAGTTTTCAAACAGCTCAATGACGGGTTCAACTCAGTTTGTGACCAATTTAATAATAAGAAATTATTATTAACCGAGTCGCCTAAACGCAAAAAAGCCAGCTCAGGGGCGGTTAATAAGACCGTGAAACAAAACAAAACATTGAACTCGGTAGCTGCAGCAGTTCCGGTCGGCACAGGGGTAACCTGAGGCACAGAAGGGAGTCGGTGCTGACCGTAGATACAGTAGGAACCGCTTCTGGGTCCCAGCCGAGTGAGGTTCAGACTGCTGCTGGGGGGCGTAAGAAACTTTCAGTTGTTCCACATAGGAAGCAATTGTTAACGATATTGAATTTGTTAGTGTCAAAGTTTCCATTCAATCCTTATCTATTTTTGTAACCTGCTCTTATATTCCTCCTGGCTCTGATTTAATAATTTATGAACACCATCTGTCTGCTATAAAATCTGTTCTATCCTTTCTTTCCAACAGAGACCTTTTGATGGTTTTGTGTGACTTTAATCTCCCTAATATCTCTTGGTCCCTTCCCACTGACTCACTTGTCGCTACTCCTTTATCAGCCCATGATTTTGTGGATGGCCTTTTAGAATTATCGTTACAGCAAGTAAGCTTTATACGAAATTCATTAAATAGACAATTAGATCTAGTATATGTTTTAGCTAGAATTGACGCACTTGTTGTACCTGAAGACCGATATCATCCAACTTTGGAATTGACAATTGGCCTCCCCTGTACTGATACCCTTTCTCCTTTAGTTCCTCAAACTAAAAGGAGATGCTTTCGTAAATGTGACTATAATAAACTAAACTACATGATTTCGCAATATTATTGGACTGATTTGTACAATTGCATGGATATTGACAGTGCAATTAAACTTTTCTATAGCGTTTTAAACACTTTTTTTTGACGAATGCGTTCCTGACAGTCTTCCTCCGAAGCTAAACAGGCCTCCTTGGTTTAACAACGCGCTTCAAAGACTTAAAAATCGTAAATCCAACACTTATAAAAAGTATAAAAAAACGGGTAAACCATCTGATTTTGCGAAATATGTTGTGGCTCGTTCAGATTTTAATGTTCTCAACAGTCATTGCTATTCCATGTATTTAAATCGATGTAAATTCGAGTTTTCAAATGATCCGAAGCAGTTTTATAACTTCGTTAATAACTTCGTCATCGGTACGTTTAAACTCAAAAGAGGCATCATCGGATTCTGAAATTGCGGATTTATTTGCCGAGTTTTTCCAAACTACTTATAGTTCGGCTGCTTGGTCAAACCCTGTCTACCCTATCCCCTTAAATAGGGCTAATTGTATTTTTACCCCTGTAATTACCGAAAGTTCTCTTTTAAAGGATTTAGCAACAACAACGCCAACGTATTCTCCCGGTCCTGATGGACTCCCTGGGAGTGTGCTTAAGTTTTGTGCTTCAACCATTTGTAAACCGATTCTTAAACTTTTTCATTTGTCTATTTCCTCATCAGTTTTTCCAACTATCTGGAAGGACTCTTTCATTATTCCACTCCACAAAAAGGGTGCGAGGGCGGATGCCCAGAATTATACAGGGGTGTCACGGAAACCGTCGACGGTTTTGGGGACGGTTGGTTTAGAAACAAATCGACCAAAACCGTTGGTGTCACAGGAATTCGAGAGATTTCCTTTTTTCGGAAAATTTACCATACACTAAATATCGAATATTGAATAATTATCGAATTTTATTTGACTTATTTGGACTATTTTCCAATAAGTTTTAAACTTAATTTATGTTTTTCTTGTAAAATTACAAAAAGAATATTTGTTTAAAGCGCATATTGTACATAATAAAAGAAAAAAAATTAAAAATTTTAATTACCCGCCAGGCTACATATTGCAGCCTTGAACAACGGTTTGCCGCGGCTGCGTTGGTTTATTTTCATTTCTAAGTTGGCAAGATTTTTAAAAGCGAACTAAAATGCCGTCTGCTCTAGAGTACTTGCGAAGGCATAAACTGCGAGAGGCTAGGACGCAGAGGAGATCCTTACAAACGGTTTTACATGGACTACCATGGAGATTTAACTCATTGGCCAGGTCCTTTCACAAGAATGCGGCCGCCCTGAGTAAATCCTTTGGCAATGTCGATATTATCGCGAATGAATCGGAAGAATATGGTGTCTTGCGCTGGTGACCTATGTTTACCCCTGAAAATTAGCAAAGCTTATTAGTTTAAATTAATAATAAACAAAAATGTTGTACTTTTTTACATGTATGTCTTCTTCTTTTTCACAGCCAGCGTTTTACCTGGCAAAAATAGGACATTTTTTCACGACAGTGATGCCAACTTTTTGCAATTAATTTCTCAATAACTACAACTTCTTTTACCATAAAATTTTTACCAGAAATAAGTTTCAATTTTAACTACAATACTAAGTACCTTTGAATAAATAATTCGTTAACAAAACATTTCGATAACTAACTCCGAAATTTGGACAAATTTGGCATTTTAAATTGCTAGCTAATTGGTAACACTGTCAGGTAGACGGTTTGCCGACGGATTTTTTTTAGCTAATTTTTTCGAGAGGTTTTATAAAAAGCATATTTTTAAATATAAACCGAAGAAGGTATAAAAATCGTAGTATGCAGGTAGTTCATAAAATTCATTAGAGTTGTCTTAAATAAAGTTATATTTTTGGGAAACATTTGTAAGTTGGGTAATTTTATCAAAACGTCCGGCAAAAAACGGGAGATTTAGAAACCGTCAAAAATGACGTCTGTGACACCGAATTTTGCTATTCGGGAGAAATTCGGTTGGAATGGTTTTCTGTGACACCCCCGACAGAGGCATTTCTAAAGTGTCGGCAATTCCTAAAGCATTTGAATGTATTATTACTTCTCATTTGCAGCATTTATGTTCCTCGCTAATATCACCGTGTCAGCATGGTTTTGTTAAGCGAAGATCGACCACCACCAACCTTCTTGAATTGTCATCTATTGTAATAAATGGATATAAGAATAACATGCAGACTGACGTTGTATATACAGATTTTAGTAAGGTCTTTGACTCTGTTAACCACTCTCTCCTTTTATTCAAATTAGATCAGCTTGGATTTCCATGTAATCTATTAACTTGGATTTCAAGTTACTTGAATGGTAGGACTCAGAGGGTTATATTTAAGAGCGCTGTTTCTAAAATGATCAACGTGACAGCTGGAGTTCCTCAAGGTAGTCATTTGGGCCCTTTGCTGTTTACTTTGTTTATTAACGATCTTTCCTCTATCGTAGCTCATTCTCGTGTACTAATGTACGCTGACCATGTTAAGCATTGTTTATCATATAAAGATGTAGGGTCCGGTTTCAACTTACAGTCAGATATTGATTGTTTTCAGGGATGGTGTGAGTACAATCTTTTAAATCTGAACTGCCTTAAATGCAACGTTATGTCTTTTTATAGGGGTACTCCTACGTTTATTAGTTATTCTCTTCAAAATACACCACTCGACCGTATATATTCAGTTAACGATTTAGGTGTTCTTCTCGACCCAAAACTTAAATTTGATTGCCACATAATGGCCACTGTCAATAAAGCTATAAAGCGTTGGTCAAAGGAATTTGATGACCCTTATACAACCAGATTATTATATAC